GAAAGAGGTGTTTTGCTTTTCCACAAGGAAAACACGCACTGGAGATGAGATCTCAAGGTCCTTGCCTAGGGCCTTTGGCTCTGACAATTCTGACTGCTCCAGAGACACAGACCTTTGAAAAGCCATGAACTTCAGGGGCAAAGCAAGTCACACCATGCAAGGAGGATCTGGTCACCCTCTTCAGCTGAAGAGAAGCACCGAGAGCCAGCTGGACAACACATGCATCAGGCGGGATGTTTAAAGGTTAGAAAGTACACTAGGTACATTAGACTTCTCCAAGTTCCCTCTCCACAAAAAGGGGCGTCCTTGCTCTTGTCCCGCAAGCATCTTGGGTGATGAACCCAGGCAAGATCTCCCAGCACAGAAGCCGTTATGGTGACTGAACCCTCTTGGCTGGATGTCTTCAGTGGTTTGAGATGAAGAGGGGACAAAAGATCTAAGGAGCACTGTATCTTGGTCCCTTTTCAGAAAGGGATCAGGTGAAAGCAGACAGATTAAGAGCTACTTCTTGTATTTCCTCCTACTCTCACATCAGGGACATAAATGGGGGGAGTGGACAGAAATGTAATTAAGGCTACAGCCCTTCCAGCAATTGCTCATACACAACCTATCATTTTAAAGCCTTCCAAAGACCTGAGCACTTTGCCTTTCGCTGGGAAGGATGCTAAGGCAGCTCTGCAACTTACCCAAGGATCTGGATCAAGCTGGAGTTGCCCAGCTCCCAGCTGAATAATATCTGGGTTACATAGTCCTCCTGGATTCCAGGACATAAACTGCGTATGGCTTCTACTAGAAGCTACTGGATGTTTCTCAGCTCTCACCCCCTGAGCATCTTTCCCTTTTCCAGGGTCCCATCTTGCTATTAAGAACTCAACAGGGTGCACCGCTGTCAACTCCTCTCCCACATGCAAAGCAGAAAACAGCTCCAAACATCCCTCATTTCCAGGGATATAAATCCCTTCCCTTTTCAATGAACAAGGCGGCAAAGCTCGGTTGACCGTTTCTGCACACAAAGACTGCCTATGGAAGACACACTTAGGAAACAACAAAATAACTGCACTTTGTCTCAACAACATTGCCAGAGATGAGGTGTAAAGAAAGGGGCCCAACTGACGCCTGTAAGGGATAGGAGTTGCTAATGCACCCCACCAGTTGCTCTTACCCCATCGCTCTTCTGAGCACAACCAGCATTGCATTCACAGCCGTGCCTCCCAAATCCGGAAAAGATAGCAGGAGAGAGCACACGAGGGTAGAAGTATCTTGTCTGCTTTGACTGCAGAGGCAGGAATTAAACAACTAATTCATTAAGCCCAGCTTTTTGTGACCACGGGGGAAACTCCATCAGGTGGCTGCTAAAGCAGGGCTCAAACCCAAGGTGATGCCTGACTGCTGGAGGTCTGAGACTTATTAGGAGGTACTAGCAACCTAGAACGGATTTAAGGACAGTGAATGCCTCTGACACAGAGCCATCAATACTGCCCCTTCGAGCGCCTGGGCTAGCAGGCAGGTGTTTCCCAAAGCCTATATGTGTTTTTACTCTAGCCATTTTGCTGTTGCAATTCCCCTTCTTTTACTGTAGCTTCCTTTATCGGTGCTTGGTCCGGTCTGAACTATGGACCAAAGTGATTTCGACATAATGGATCACCCTTCTCCACATTTTGTGCACTTGAATAAATAAGTTTTTACAAGTTTACTGTGCATTGTACAATCTAAAAATAAATGAAATAAAGTATATGAAATTTATAAATTTTCATCACATCTCTATAAAATACAGCCGCTGCTCCGAGCGGCACTTTCTGTACACAGAACACCAAGTCACAATACAATTAAATGCACCAGTCTGATAGTGTGGCAGCACGTTAAGCTAGATTGTGGTGTTTTTGTGAACTACCATTTAGACCTACTTAAAGCAAAGAAATACAAAAGCAAAATGCACTTAGTCAATAAATGTACACGGCTAAGCCATTTCTGAATCAAGTATCAAAACCCTACTAACAAAATACATTGTACTTAGAACAAAAACAACAAGCTGAGAAAATATGCTACCTGCACCAGTACAGAAGCACTATTTTCAGTCTTTCCAATGTTGTTAAAAAGGGCCTGACCAATACCAGTGATTATGCACCCTGTTCATATGCCAATGACATCCCAAAACAAAGTTACCAGACTAGCTACCAAAATTCACAGTGACTTGAGTGCCACCAGCAACTGCAAATGGCCCAGTGAAGTAGTTTGAATGGGGCAGGACTTGGATTTCTTCTGTTCAAACTGTGCCTGAATTGGCCAAGCTTCCCTGGGGCAACCCAGGGAACGTAGCTGCCGTTCCGTTCCAGAGGGGAGTACTGAGTTCTTGTTTGTAATGAACACAGTTAAAAACCACCCAGTTAACAGAGCACCTGGCTCAGTTCAGATTAGATCAAAGCACTAAATCAAAGACTGCCATTCTCTATAGCTCACACTGCTGCAAACCAAGTGGATTTTGGTATATGAACAGAGCAAGTTGAATAAATAAAATGCAGACCTTTCTGAGAACTGGGTTTGGCATTGGTCAACCCTCCAAATTCAGCACCAAGGATTCAAACTAGAGGCACAGTTCTGACGGATGAAATAGCACCGAGAGGAGGCTCTTTATATCTCTGCTGGTGTGCCAGTTCTTTATTATTCAGAGAATTTATTAATAAGTTGTATTTATGACTCTGGGTGGAATAAAATAAGTCAAAATTGTTTTCACTTTAAAAAAAGATAAATACTTTATCTAAACTATCAACAATACAAACTGGAGCTTTAAACATTTCTTTTGCCTCTTTTTTTTTCCTTTCTTTTTTACTCCGATTCACAGTAAATATTGGTTTTTTTTCTGTTGTTTAGGTCTTTTTATGTTTTTATTTTGTCCAGTAGTAAGAGTAGAAACCCCTGCACAGGCCAGGTGAGCACCTTTCAGTGGAAGCCGAGTGAAGTTGGTCCACGTTGTCCTTGCATAGGTCACATTGGGTTGAGGTAGAAATCCTAGTTACCTGCACAACAGGAGGAGAGGAAGAGACTCATCTAAATAAGAGGCAAAATCTATTACGTGTTAGATGTGACAATCATCTCTATTATTGTTCTGAGACCTGCTAGCCAGCGGAGAAGGAACGATTCTTTCCTTGACCCAGCCACAATTAGACATGAAGGACGCCTCCAAGTGTGACATGCAGCCCCTCCTGGCTACTGTCATTTTTATAGCGTTCTGACAGTGTAATCATATCAAGCTCATGTGACTGACCTCAAAGAGTAGCAAAAATGTTCTCGTATTCAGTACTTCAGTTTTTTTCTAACACAAACTGATCTGCTTTGATTTTTTTTTTTTTTTAATTACCTTAGTGGAGGATCATCACCCACTTTCTGAAACATTAAGAGAAACAAAGCAGATTATTTTAGTCCCCAATTCCAGATTTCAACCTCAGTTTAGCAAGGTCTTTGAGCATAAGCATTCATACCAAAGTCAATGAAATCACTGAAATATTTGACCCATGTTTGAGAACCACATTAAGCCGGACCCACAACTGTGGTACATGTATGTTACACACCATCTGCTGGTGGCATCCTTTGCTCCAGTCTAGTTTTCGTCATCCAGCTACCCTTCTCTGCACTTTACTTTTGTTCTTTGCCTATCTTGCTCAGGAGCTTTTTCTGACAGAAGCCTCACCTACGATCGTATGGAGCCTAGCATAACATAACCCCAATTTCAGGTAAGGCAACTGCTTCAACAGAAGCCTTTCACACTGTTCTCATTTGATCATACTCATACAAAAACCGAAGCCTAAACCACCTCCATCTCCCCCCCCACCTCTTATTTCTATCCTGGGTCCTTCAAACCTACTGAGTAACCACCATGCTATTCCACATTACATCATTAGTCCCTGCTAATGCACAGGGGCCACATTATTGAACTGTTACTAGCCTCACTTTCTGGTAATGAATGAACATCAAGGTAATACTTACCTACCTCACAAAAGCCTAAGTGAGGATTTTTCAAGTCTGTGGAGCAGTTTGATGATGAAAACACTATACACAATGCACAGTCAAAAGAATCTCTCAGGTAGATTGTAGTTGAGTCAAATGTTTTATAAGCGGCAAAGAGCATTCAACCATATATTGTATGCAACTTTGGTATCAATGAACAGCAACAACATCAAAGACCTACAAGAAAGCACGGAGCAAGCTCTGGGGCCTAACATACTCATTTAACTTTGCAATCACAAGTTACACCATAACACCACAGAGTATTTTCATAACAACAGTACCCAACTCTGTGCTGGTACACTTTATTCTGTCATTGCTCTGGAAGGCATTTAAATACTTCGGTAAACATATATACTCTCCAGAGATCTTCCTCTCTTATACTGCCTCTGCCCTTAGGAAACACAGACTACAGTTAACCCTGCATATTCCTTATCTTCTCGTTCACAGTCTACGCAGTAAGTCAGTGATTGCCAAAGCAAGCAAAAATACAGCATCTGATGGAGTCTGTTGCTGTTAGCCCTATCCCGGAAGTCCAGTAAAGCTGTAGTGCACAGATGATGAGGCCTCCCTGGTTTGTTCTTATCCAATTCAGCATAACTCTTCTTTGCTACCTGTGATTACATCAGGCAGACACAAGTTATAACTGCCTTTGCTCCTTCATTTTGCAGTGGAGCAAGGGACAAATTAACTGCAATGCAAGACCAGTGCGTTTGCATTCCAAGACAAAGCTGCAGCTTGTAACCTGGAGATTTAATTTTTTTGAGTATTTAGAGCAGCTGTTGTTGACTGACACTACAAAAACAAGACCACATTGCCACATACAGTCACAAAGCAGCACCTTCACGCATCCTAACGCTATGGAAACATGGACTTGTGGGAGATGCAACAGTTAGCGTCGGAGGGCAAGGGGAAGGGGAATCGGAGGGCAAGGGGAATCAGAGTAGGCAACAACCACTTCCAATACCGTATAAAAACATACTTAAAAAATAGACATTTCCTCCTGATTTCAGATCATCACAAAAAAACGTTTTCAAGAAGTGATCTCGACCTGAACATAATCCTAATGTCAGATGAGACAGACCAGAGTTACCATAGTGAGCACTCCGTGTCGAGAAATCCTGACTCCCAAACAAGACGCATTAAGGCTCTCCATCCTCTGCCGTAAGATCACTTCCCCCATTTTAGAGCTCTGCTTCACAGAGCCCACTCCCACCCTATCTCTGCAAAGGAAGAAGCATCATTCAGCATCTCGTACAAAACTCCTGATTTTTTTTCTCTAGCCTTACCTTACAAAATAAGAACTGTTAGCTAAGCAAGCTCTTTATCGTGGCTTAACCCCAGAAAGGTGCGAAGCATAAGGAGACTGCATGCCAAGTGTAACCCACATAGCGGACGTGCCAGCTGCGTTGGACTGCGTGATCATTGGCGCGGTCTGTGCCAGCGCCAAACGGGGCAGAGGCGGGTGATGGACTGTAAAGGAGGGGCGGGAAGTTTTGTGCTGGAGAGAAGCTAGCTTAATAGACAAAGAAGCATTAGCAGATTGGACAGAAGCAGCAGAAGAGGATGGCAAAAAAGCTTCGCCAGGTGGGACGGACGGCAGGTTCTGCAGAAGCACAGGCTCAGAGTTAGAAGCAAGTAATGGAGGAGGTGGGGGCAACGAGACGTTAGGAGGAGGTGGAGGGGAATGAAAAACAGATTGCACTGGCGCTCTGTTGAGGTGCTGAGCAGATCTATTCTCACTAGATGTTACTAAATTAGAGGAGGGGGATGGGAAGGATGGGGATGAGGTGCTGGCAACAGCCTGCAGAGGGTTTAAGCTTAGCACTGTGCTGCTAGAGACAGCACTGCTGCTGAAACTGGCTCCAAATTGATGAGGAGAGGAGGCAGAAGGCACCGCATGGTTAAAAATACCTGCAAACAGGAGAGAAAAACTCAGCTTCAACAGATGGGCTTTGTACAGTCTCAAGTGACAAGAGAAACAAAACAAAAAGAAAAAAAAAAAAAGCAAAATTATAGTAGTTACAGCCCCATACAAAAATATGCAGCATGAGATAGCAGCAAGCAATGAGAGATAATGGTGCAGGCCAGGAGGTACAAAAGATTTCACTTACCTTTCCTACTGCCAACCTCTAAATGCCACGAGGAAAAATGGTCAGACCCAAGAACTTTCAGTTCTAAACCACACGGGTAGACTTTTGAAGAGATTACGTGGTCTCTAGAGTTGTTTATCTGAAGACTCAAACTGCTGCTCTTCCCTCCCCACCCTCCTGCTTTCCAACTTACAGGGCAGCAGAGGGGAGATTGTATTTCCAGCAAATCTACATGCTGAGAGATGTGAGAGTTAGGATTTCCCGACATGGTGCCTGAATGATTATGGACAGGTAAGAAAAACTGCCTTTGACCCTTAGCATTGGCAGGTGCAGACTATCTTCTAGTCCTGCTAGCTTGTCTCCAGTTTAGGTCACAGAAGCCAAGCCTTGCAGAATCCCAGAAGTGCAAGGTGCATATGGCATTGCCCTTCCTGGCAAAGAAATGCTCGTCATGTCCGTTCAAGGGCCAGAACGCTACGCAATTCCCAACACCATCTCCTCTGAAGAGATGCTGATGTTTTGCTCTTCCCGGATCATGCTACATCCATTCAAGGCCTAATCTCAACCTTTTGTCCTTAACTTGGTAACATGACAAGTTAAATCTTTTACCTGCAGGCAGACCTAAGTTGGTTCCAACACAGCAACATCTGAACAAGCATACATTATGAAATCACAAAGTCTGGGTGTATTCTTTCATTAAGGTGATACAACATGCTCATCTAGTAGACAAAGCTCATGAGATTTCACTGTGGGGAACTGAACTCATCCTAGCATTTCCAAGAGATAGAGGAGACAGGTTATGTGGGACACATCTGCTTCATGTCCTGCAGAAGTGAAAGGGTTTCACCCCTGGAGAGGCAGTGTCAGACTTTCCTTTAGGCCCTGTCTTATACCAGAGAAAGAGTTCTGCCTACCTCCAACTGTTCCACCTGTAACCCCAGGAGAGAAGTTCCCCATAGTGTGAGAATTAGTCAGTCTGGTTGCAGCTGATGACACGTGGACCAGACTGGCAGCAGCTGGCATTGAATTAAATAAGGACTGCAATACTGAGGAGTTTGTCACCGAGTTGAGGTTTGCTTGCAAGGCCATGGGACCAAGGGGGAACTGTGATCCAGTGGTCAAAGTGTTTAGGAAAGGATGGTGCGGCTGAACAGAAGATGCTGCGTTGCCTGCTGAAGAAACAGCAGTGGAAAGGCTTTTACCATTCAGAAGGCCACCAGATGAAACAGCAGCAGAAATGAAAAGGTTGTGGCCGTTTTTAAACTCCACATCTCGGTCCCTTCCTTTGCCAACCTTTCCGTTATGCTGCAAAGAGTTTTTTTCTGAAGATCCCCCAGTACGAATACTTATTTCGCTGATCTCTTTGTTTTTGACCCCTGACCGATTTAAGTCTTCTCCTTTCGTGCTGCTGAGGCCTTCAAGTTGCCTCTTGTTCAAAAAAGGGTTTGTTTCCGATACCCCCACATCTTTGCTTCGCTGTGACTGAAAACTCAGGGAGCAGTTGGAAGTTGTCACATCTGAAGTCTTATGCGGAAGAGAAGCACCATCGATAAAGCTGTGTAAACCAATATCTGTTGACAGTCCACCATTGTACGTGAATCCATTAGTGGAGTTTGTACTAGGGCTGAGCCCATCTGCCCCAGAGGAGGGCATGGCAATGCTTTTCCTCGCATGTGCTGTGATCTTGGAGTCAATGGCTAGGCTATCCTCAGAGGACGGCCTAAAGGCAAACAGCGAATTCTGGCTCAGAGATGAAACAGACTGCAAGGGACTATCTGTAGTTTTGGTCAGGTTGATGTCAGATATTGGTGAAAACGTAGATTTCCATTTACTGCTATTTATGTTCTCAGTGGTTTGTGCTTGTTTCCTCCCAGGTAAACTGCCGCCTAGTTTGGAAGAAAAGGTCACAAAAATATCAGAGAACAGCCTTCACTGAGTCTGTTCCTTAAGAATAGGGAGCTTTTTTGTTTTCGTTTCTTCCTCCCCCACCCCCAACATCCATATTAAATCAATCTGCAATTCTATTTCTGATTGAAAGGCAGAAATACTTGAGAGAAGTCACCTAACTACCCTCCAATTCTAGTTCAACGCTCTGAAAAAGTCCAAGGCGGCTAATCTACTCTTTCCTTAGCCTTTGCACTACAAACCCTTCCCCAAACCCTGAGTCACTGGAGGGAGGAAAAAAAAAAAAAAAAAGAGTCAGACAGTGACCTGTGACTACAGAAAGAACTGACCCAAGATTTGCAATTATTAGCCACCTGTCTTAATGATGATTATTCAAAGCCCCAGCAGAACTGCAGTCTGCTCGACAGCACAGAACTGTAGAAAAGCCTGCTATCCACTAACCTAAAAGTCAGCAGCAGCCATCCCATTCCCAGTTCCAACCATTAAAATGAATGATTAATGTTCCTCCCACCTACCATTTTCAACAGTCTTCTGTGGGGATTTGCTCTCCAATGATATTGTTGCAATTTTCCTCTCAATTCTAGTGAGAAAATAAGAAGGTTACGACACTAATTGCAGTCTTACTGTTGCACATTTACCCTCCTAGCTTATCTTCCTTATATTTGTGTCTTAGGAGTTGTCTAGAATATATAAAGCAAGTCATCTACAAAAGTATATTGTTACTAGAAGTACTTAAAAGCATCAAAAAAATTCACTAAAAACTTTGAGTAGAAGCTGTTAAAATTCTGCACTCTTTCTCCCAAGATTACTGCATGTTCAGAGAACTTCAGTGATGCTCTTCTTTCATGAGAAGAAATAGCCCGTTGCTCTCATCTCTATATCGGTTACTTTTCTAGTGCCTCAAACAAGAAAAATCATTGCATCCACACACAGGCAGGACGTGGCAATATTCAGAGCAACACAACAACAACTTGGGGTAAGAAGTGAAGAATTCTCCATCAAGCTGAAAGTGGGGAGTGAGGGGGAGACATTCTTAGTTAAAAGTTATACCCTTGGCCCCAGTACTTCCTACAAAACAACAAAGTAATCAAAAAAAAAAAAAAATCATTTCCGTACTCTTTCAAAGGCCAGACACTGTCAGCCTTGCAAACACAGTAAGAAGAGTAGGTTTCCCCTTGTTCAAGCACTACTTTCTAAATAACTTTCCTATTTATAATTTCAGCCTCACAAGAGGCTTGGCCTAGTGGAATCATTCTCCAAATACAGGGTACAAAGAGCGAAGGCTTAACACGCCCCTGTAGTTTAGAACATCTTCATCAACTGTCAGAGAAATCTCATGGCAAAAATCTATGCCTGCGTATTCACCTGGTGCTATTGTGCTCATCTTCAGATCCCTGCTCTTCATCTGATGTTAGAGGAGAGTAATGAACACCATTGGTCTGAATGAGTGGCTTTTCCTTTTTCAATACTGGGGGCTGGTCATTGTCCTGGTAAGGAACAGGAGAGTTCTTCAGGGAGTTTTCAGGAGAGGAAATGGCTGTTATTTCTAAAGGCTGGTTAATGTTATTGACCTGGTCAAGAAGGAAAGAAAACAGTTAAGGATGAGAGCATCCCTTTAGAAACAAGGCATCTTGTTAAGGATATTAAAACAGGGCGTATGCATGCTTAGTGCTGCCATTGTTAGACGTCAGCATCTTGCACTAGAGCCCTGGATAAACACTTTAACATAACGTGGAAGAATATCTAGTTTTAATAGTTCGATTTTATGTTTCAATGCAGAAATGAAAACACGGGATAACCACACTTCTTTTCAAACCACTACTGCAGGATCACATGAACACAACCTGTACAGCAAGCTTATAACTGTGATAACGTCATATGCTTATGGTACTCATGCTATTTAGTCAGTCTTAGTTTAAACTAATTTCAAATATTTAATCTACAGCCTAAAAATCAACTTTGCTGCAGACACAAGCTTTTTGTCATAAGGGAACAGCCTGAACTAAAAATTAAGAGATTATTTTTAATATTTAATGTTCTGATAAAAAGCTCTTTGAAGATGTTCTGCCTATACAAAAACAGTTCATCCACTTTTCAGCAATTCGCTAGCCTCTCAGAGGGGCCATTTTCACATAGGCTCTTCATGTCAATTCTAGCCACCAGCACTGTTAAACCTGAGAGTATGTTACAGAGTGGAGCAGGTGGAGCTTATTTCTAATTGAAAGGGGTTTCCCAGGCCCTTCTGTTTTGCTAGAGCTCTTCATTTTTTGCCCTTACCATGGAGTTAATATTGAGTGGTGAACCTGATGGTTGCGTAAAGAGTCCTGACACAGTAGGTAAGGATTTGCGTTTAGGGGAGACCCCGGAGCTCCCGCTGAGGTTCCCAGTAGAGGATCTCTTCCGCCGACCTCGCTTCTTCCCATCCTGCACATGTGCTTGGCCACAGTCCAGCCGAGCGCTCGAGGGCAGAGGACTGTGCTTGTTGGAAGGGGATTGTTTTACATGTCCTGTATTAGGAGAGATTGTAAAGATGATTCTTCTCTTGGCCTCGTTCTCAGGATCTGAAAACGCTGCATCAGACTGAAGATCCCCCTTTGTTCCTTCGGCAAATATCTTCTGAGCATCTGCATATTGCAATACCCCTACCAGGCTCTGGGAGGTGCCATTTAACCTGGGGCTTGTTGAGTGCTGGTGAGCAGGGGAGTTTTGCCCAGAGTTCCTTGACTGCATCATTAGCAAAGGATGTTGTGGAGTGGAACTCCGAGACCCTACTGAGTTAAACAGACTCCCAGAGTCGTCCAGAGCTGCCTGATCAACACTATGGTTAAGATGGGCTGGGCTGTTTGAAAGAGTTCCATTGACTGCCACGGAGCCAGAAGAGTAAGAAAAACCTGTTGAAAGGGAAAGTATACATCATTGCTTCTGCTGAGTGATAGTTCACGGTGCTAAATTTCAGGGATGGTTAGGAGTGGTTTCAACAGTACCTGCATTAGATCACGAGCAGCTGCGTATTACTCAGGAAACTCTGCATAGCTGCCCTTTACACAGTAAGGCTGAGAATACAGCTCTGCGTGCTGACAGCTTCAGTTAGGAGTCAACAATTTTCACTACTCTCTTTTGCCAATTCAGGAAAATTCATGTGCTATATGGAGATATCTTATGGCCTACCCAGTTTTTAAATGGAACTCAAGGGTTTGTTTGTTTGGTTTTTTTTTTTGCTTTTGAAGTCAGGGGTCCTCCTACGATCCTACGATCAAGAAAACTGCCAAATTCAGTCACTATCTTTCCCCTGAAAGGAAGGAATGTTGGAATGTTGTCATCTATACTGCCCACCCCCTACTCAAAATTAAACAAAAAGATGTGGCTTAGGAAGTGACAGTGGATCTTCAAGGAAATTGTAACAGAAGAATGCCACATGGGAGTAAGCATGGAAAGAGAATTAAGCATTTGACAGTCTATAATATTAGTTTGGTGCTCTTGTAAGGTCTTGTGTCTGGGCTGCCTAAATGAAAGGGGTACAAGGGAACACAGTATTGTCTCACAATTTTTATATATATTTTTTTTAATACTTCATTCGTTTTATAGGAAATAGTAGCCAAGCCCCTCTTTACAAAAGAGATGCTAGTAACAACACAAGCCCCTAGAGGTGGTAAGCATAAAGGACAAATGCATTCTCTCATGAGGGATCAGCTATAGAACAGCTTCCATATGCTAGCAATTAGTTTTCCTAGTCCACAAGGTCTCTGTATCCCAAGTAGCTAAAAGTCACAATTTCAACAGATAAGTGAGTTCAGGAATGTCTGCACTTGAAGTATCCCTACCCTCTCCCCTCTTGGTGGTTCTTCCTACCCTAATAATTGTGCCTGTACAATTGCTCATGAGACACCACTGTGACCTGCATCAATTTTGCTATTAAAAAACTCCACCATACTGCAAAAGTAAAGCTTTCAAAGCCAGGTCTGTCTACAGCCTAGCTTTGCAAAACATCTTGCTGGTTTACTACAGTGTAAAGGTAAGAAGGTCTTAATCCATACAGAATTTACAAAGGCAATTATTTACTTACACTGCAAGGTGTTGCAGTTCCAATAACTGAGGCAAGTTCAAACTAATACTCCACACTAAAACACATCCAAAGGATCTCATAACACCATCATGCAATATGCGTGATTCTTTGGTCTTGTTACGAACACACATTTATCTCGAGCTTTGCTGCCTTGAATTACCTGAAGTGCCCAGAACTGACACATGCACTTGTGGGTGCTGTCACTGTGAGACAGCACACCTTCACACAGATGAGGCTGTTACCTGAGGTAGCCAAAGCCAGTGGCTTGTTTCCAGCAGCATTGCTTACGCCGTTATGAGAACTAGCACCAATCTGCTTTTCAAGTGTTGATGAGTCTCTGCTCTGATGAACTGGGCTAGGTGTGCTTCTCTGAAGAGAGAGAAACAACTGTTTCAGTCTAGAAAATACATTCATCAACTTAAACTAAATTCACATGTATTGGTACATCTACCAAGTTAAGTGGCTCTACTTCCTACACATCCTAGATTTTGCTTGTTTGGAGGAAAATATAGATCAGCATGTTATGGGACAAAAATAAATAATGATTACATTGCAGTAGTACCAAGCATATGCCAGATACCATGCAGATCCAAAGAGAACAGGTTCATTGCCCCAGAAAGTTTAGACTCAGGATAGCACAGCGACCAGAGAACAAACGCCTCGGTCCCTTGTTTCATAAGCAGCCGGAAAGGAAACAGCTGGTGATATCAAGTCCCCAAGCTGGTATACATCAGGTTCCCCAAAGCAACCCTGAAACAACATGAAATGCACTAGGCTATATTCCCTGGTAGGCTATCCGAGTTATGATAAACAAGTGGTATTTTTCAAGATGAGGCACAACAGTTGCTCCTAGCCTGAATAAACAACGTGTCGAAGTTAGAGGTGGTGTCCAGAGCTGACACTTTATGCCCCATTCACTCTCTCTGAGGACATACCACCTCCTCTCCTTGGAGGTGGGAAGACTCTAGTTCTGCTACTGCTCCAGAGTCTATGGCTGGAAAGAGATAACGGATTGAAGACTACAAAACAATTCCAGCTTTCCAAATATGGGATGGTAATGCTGATACCCCCAAACACATTTGTGGATAGATTCTAAATTCACAGCCCTTATGTGAAAGCAGGGAATGATTCTTAGTTCTCTACTGTAAACTCTGTAGTGACAAACATTTGTGAGAAACAGGACCCGGCCTTTTAAAACTTCTCTGCCACCAAGAGTTACACGGACTTATCAAATTTTCAAAAACAGATGGCCCAAGAAGTTCTGTAGTTGTAATACCTGAGAAGTCAGCTACATAGTGGTTACTCACACATTAGGTATTACAATCTCAGTGCACTGTCCGTATTCATCCCACGCTCTCATGACATAAAAAAAAATCCACAATGTATGGACCAGTAAACTGATGCAGGAAAATATGTCTCCCAGTGTCATACAAGAAGGCAAGGGCTAAGAGCAAGTTTACTTGTGTGACTCTCGGCTCTCAGTCCCACACTCCCAAACTCTGCTACTTTTCCACCAAGTCAGAGTTTAGACTGCGTGTTCTTTTGAAGTATGTATTCACTTTCCTTTGTGGATGAAATACTACCGACTCCACCGACACAAGAGTGTAAAAATCTAGAGAATGACTAAGATCCAAGAGGATGCATCCCAACAGCAGCCTCCCCCAAAGCATCACAGACAGTCCAGATTAGCAGCCCACTCAGGATTCTGGTGCACAGTACACCATTCCTGCCCAGTGCGATTTTAGTTAGGGATGGAAAGCATTGACAATCCCTTACTCACCACCTTCTCAACACGGCTAGGTAGGACTACGCTGGCCAGAGGGATACTAACAGGGAGTTTATTGGGCTGCACTGTGCTGAGAGGAATACTGATAGGTAGGCTGGTGATAGTTTCTCCATTACTCACAGAGGTTCTCTCTCTCAAAACCTGCAAACGCAAAAAAGAAAAAGAGTAGTGTTCTTAACTGCATGCTATTAGTCACAAGACTGCTTTTTAAAAACTCATTTAGTTTTGTGTGGTTGTTTAAGAATTACATGCTTAAGAGTGATGATTATATAAGCAAAGATAGCTTACCCAGCAACACCAGTCTGCTGGGACAGGAATATCTGACAGTGTAGAAAGATATGCAAATCAAAGCTACTGCTGGCTACAAAAGCATAGGGAAAAGGATGCTTTAGGCAAGCTGATTTCCTAGGGTCTTTGTGAGAGCTCTATGAAAAGCACTCATCGGACAAAATTTTTATCCTGAGGTACTCTGTATGGAGAAGAGGAAGCAGCCAGAAAGCTTTCCATGGTAACTTCCTGCGGAAGGG